GCGCCAGACGGCCTGAGGAATTGACGCTGGGCGTCAGAACCCACTGGGCCTGGGCAGGGGTGGCGGCAGCCTGGAGCTGGCTGGGGCAGGCTGAGTGTGTGGGGAGATGCCCAGAGGGAGTTCGGAGTGTTCTGAGTGGGCCCTGTGGGCCTGGGGACCATCCGTGGTCCTGGGGGCCTTCCGTTCAGGAGTTGCCCTGGGTGCCCCTCTGGGGTGCTGGGCTGATCTCGAAGCCACGTCTTTCCCGGCAGCTGTGTCTGTGCCTCGTATGGGACCCTGAGAGGCCCGCCGGCCCCTCTCTGTCTCGGCTCCCGAGCAGCCCTGGGCAGCTGGTGTTTCCACGTAGGTCACCCCCAACTCCGGGCCTGGGGCTCCTTTTTCCACCTTTATTTTTCTTCTTTCCTGGCTTTCCCTACCACACTTCTGTTATTTTGTACCCAACAAACCATACTTCATTGGTTCTGAGATGCATTTTGTCCCCGCGATTTAGCATCTGGGGCGTGTCTTACAGTAGGTGGTGTACTGCCTTCTGCTGGTGGCCTTTCCGTCTTTGGGGGCGTAAGGGAAGCCAGCCATGATGACCCCTAGCCTCTGGTGCCTCCTACGCCCCATCTGCCCCGCCTGGACCAGGGGCGCCTGCAGGAACCGCCACCTGCTCTGCTCCTGGGATCTGACACAGTGTGTTCAGATGGAGGGATGCCCTTCACGGAGTGGTGGTGCCGAGCTCCGGCTGCAGCGATGGCAAGGGTCTGCCTGCAGTGTGTGCACAGTGGAGCTGAGCAGAAAGGCGCCAGGGAGGGTCGGGGCAGCCCACTGCACGCGGGGGCTGTGGCCTGAACCTTTGTGGTACAGAACGGTCCACCCCAGGACTCTGCCATGCTGCCCTGGACGGTCACCCTGCACCCAACCCCTGGCAGCCACGGGATTCTCTTCCTCATAGTTTTGTCTTTTGGAGAATGTCATGCAAGTGGACTCGTCCAGTGTGTGGCCATCAGAGACTGGCCCCTTCTGTGGGCACAGTGGGCCAGGGTCCCACTGTGGTTGGCCAGCCTTCCCCTTTGCTGCTCGGCAGCAGTCCAGCTGTGGACAGCCCACGTGCCGTCTGCTGGCCGGTGGCAGGCCTGTGGGTTGTCTCCAGAGTGGGGCCCTTGCTAACAGGGCAGGTGCGAGCACTCCCCAGCTGGGGAACAAGTGGACGCCTTCTTCCCCGTGCCTGTTGGGTGGGTGCCCAGCTGTGGGATTGCCAGTCACACGGCAGGTGGTACTTAGCTTTACAGAAACTGCCAGCAGTTCAGAGGCCTGTGCCCTCCACACCCTCCCCTCTGAGGACAAGACTCCCACTTGGTCCACGTCCTTACCAGCACTTGGTGTGGTTGGGGTTTGGGGGTTTAGCTATTCTGATAAATCTGTAGTGGGGTCCCATCGTTTTAATTGGCGTTTCCCTAATGGCTGATGATGTAGAGCATCTTTTCCTGGGTGACTTCATCATCTGATAACACTCGGGTGAGGTATCTGTTCAGATCTTTCTCCCATTTTTTCAAATCGGTTGGTTCGTTTTTCTCACTGTGGAGTTCTAAGAACTCCCTGTGTATCTTCGATGCAAGTCCCGGGTCAGACTGGTGATTTACAGGCCCTCCCCTCAGCTAGCTTCTCCTTTCATTTTGGTGAAACCCCGTTTACCGGTTCATTCTTTTAGGGTTATGCATTTGGGGTCATGAACCCAAGGTCACCAAGTTTTCTTCCCTTTTCTTTTCACAGTCATGTGGCTCTATGTCCTGCATTAGGCCCACGATACCCATTCTCTCCATTTTTGTGTAAGGGGTGAGGTTTAAAGCCAAGGGTGATTTTGCTCTTGTGTTGTGCCCGTGTGTGCCCAGCTGCCGGGCACCGTCTGTGGGAAGGCCGTCCCTTCCTGCCTGGAGTGGCCTGTGCACCTTTGTGAAGATCGGCCAGGCACACCTGTGTGGCTCTGTTTCTGGGCGCTGAGCCGTGTCTCCGTCCACCTGCACCTCAGAGGCGTTTCGGCAGCTTTGCAGGCCAAGTCAAACAGCATGATTCAGCATTTTTCCTTCTGTTTGGTTTTAAGTGGCATTTTTCTGTATAATTAAGGAACAGGGTTCATTTTCACATTCTGTCGTCTGAACAAATGGCATGCACTTCTGCACAGTCAGCGTCACCTTCTCTGTGCCCCCAGCCCCACTGCCCAACCTCAGCAGGGCCCCGCTGTGGCTGACCAGGGTGGCTGTGTCCCCCGCAGTGGCCGTGCACACTGGCGGGGTCCCTGAGGGTAGGGTCGCCTCTGCTCTCTGGTGGTGCCACCGGGGTGGTTCCCAGGGGCCGCCTTCTAGACATCTGGGGCCTCCTGACACGGCAGCATCTGGGGGCAGGCGTCTTAGTGTCTTTTGCTTGGGGAGAGGATCCATTCTTTCTTTGGAGCCCAAGTAAGTGACCCACAGGAGGCTGAGAAAGTTGAGGGGCTGAGGCTAGTGGGACCCTCCCAGTTGCTCTCCGGGTCTGTCCCGCCTGCCCCATCCTGCCACCCATTTTTCCCCCCCCAGTTTTATTGAGAACTAATTGACATCCATCACTGAGCTTCAGGCGTCCAGCAGGAAGGCCCAACTTACATGTATTGTGAAATGAGTAGTTGACACCCGCTATCTCGGGTGGACCCGTTCGTTCTTTTAGGAAGTTGCGATACTGTGGTAGAACACGTGGGATGTGAGGTCTGCCACCCTAGCCTTCCTGCATGAGCTGTTGAGGGGTGTGAGCACAGTCACGTTGTGCGGCCGCCGCCACCCTCCTCTCCAGAACTTTCCAATCTCCCCAGCCTCAGACTCGGCCCCTGTTAAGCACTCACGCCCCAGCCCCAGCCCCCTCCTCTACTGTGTCTCTGGGTCCAAGTTCTGAACCCAGCACAGGGAACCTGCAGGATCCGACCCCCTGTGCTGGGTTCATTCCCCTCAGCGTGAGGGACCCAGGCCCCATTCCTCTGCTGCCTGGAGGGGTGCAGTGTCCGTGAGGCAGGGGGTGGTGGTAGGGCCATGAGGCACATGGGGACCCTTTATCCATTGGACCTGCAGGAGGGACACGGCATGGCCCCAGATCCCTCTTAGCAGTGTGTTCTCTGGGGCCAGAGTACCTGTCCTAGGCCGCTGCCGCCCTGTCTGCCCTGGTTGGCCGCTGTTCCAGACTGTTCCATGGAGAGCTTTGTGGCCGAGGCTCACCTCTCCTGCATCAAAAGCAATTGCTCAGCTCCCTATTCAGGCAGCTCATTGCTCTTTCAGGCGCTTCTCTTCAAATTCCATGGGCCAGGATATTTGGAGGCCACAATTGTGGAAACAGAGTTGTTGCTGGGCAAAGAGGGGGGCTGTTGACAGCGGCAGCTCAGCCACGGAGGCCGGTCATGGAGTGACTGGGCCACTGGGAGACCCAACGCACAGGGTCTCTGCCAGCTGCCTGCCCGTAGCCCCAAGGGGCCCCCCCCAGCCCTGCACTGGGTGTGGGAGTGACCCGCCACGGGGACTTGAGAGGGCCCCCGACCCAGGGAGGAGCCCTGAAGCCCCACCCCCAGCCAGACTGGCCTGGGAAGGCGCAGGGAGGAAATTGGGAGCACCTTTCCAGACGCGCCGCCCTGCGGGCGAGGGTATTTTTAGCCACGCAGCCTTGGCACATGGCAGAGCAGAAATAGAAGAGGCTCCCGTGGCTGTTCTGGATCTGCCGGTCGGGCCGGCCGTGGGGGCTGGGGGCTGGGGTGATCCTGCCCAGGGCCCACCCTTGCCACCCTCCCTCCTGAGGTCCCTGTACAGCAGCCCCCACATGGCTTCCCCAGGTCCTCCTCCTGGGCCAGCCTGGCCTCCCCAGACCCAGGCTCTGTGCTTCTGTTTAATTTTCCTGTGACCCCTGAGGGGTGTAGAGGGGATGGAGGTACTGGCCAGGTGCACCTGTCCTGGGCCTGCTGGAGGAGCGGGTTCCAGCCGGGCCCTACCCTCTGAGTGTCCGAGCACTGGAAGGTTCTGTGACTGCTCCTCCCATCAGGGCCCCTGGGGCTGCTAGGGAGGACTGCTTTCTGGAAAGGAAGACCCAACCTGGAGGGGCCATCTGGGCAGCCCGCTGCCTGTGTGACAGGTGGGAGTGGACAGGCCCTCGGGGCCTTTACCTGTAGGTCTTGCTGCTCGGCCAGGTGTGTGTGGGAGCCCACTCTGTGGCAGCTGTGGTTTCTCAATGATGACAGCTGGCCAGGAACTGGTGGCCCTCCCGAAAGGTGACCCAGTATCACCCTGTCCTGGGGACACAGGGCTGAGGGAGCAGTGCCCTGGCCTCTGTCTAGGCGGCTGCAGGGAGCCAGGTTGGCGCACGCAGGCATGAAGCAGGAGGCTGCCGGGGAAGCCAGGCTGTGGCCTGGAGCCCTGCTCTGGGCAGGGCTTCTGGGTGTGGTGGTCCCCTGCTGGATGTCCAGCCTGTGGCCATCAAGCTTCCAGGGTGGCTGAGGTACCTCAAAAATGGCCTCACCCTTCCCCCATCATAGCTGCAGTCTAGCACACTACGGGGTCCCTGTCTGACCCCCAGCTTGTCAGGAACGTCCCCAGACGGCCTGGAGGGCTGGAGCTGGCTGGCAGAGATGCCTGGCATGTGTGCATGGAGCCACCTCCCGGCCAGGGACACATGTACAGGCCGGGGAGTGCCGCCGGCAGAAGGGCCATGTGCCCCAGAGCAAGGCTGGCGCAGGGACCCTTGCTGATTTGTGCCCACCTGACCTTCAGCCCTCCGTGGTGGACACCTACCCGGAGCCTCTGGGCCCTTGACGTGTTCCTGGGCCTGGACGGGCATCCCTGGTTCGTGTCCCCTCTTTGCTCGTGCAGGAGGCAGGTCCGGAGCAGTCCAGCCCGTGCCAGGGACCAGGGAAGGTGGGCAAGGAGCAGGTCTGGCCGGGCTGGGCTGGGTGGTGAGCCGGAAGGGGCTTGACCCCAGAAGACCCCTAACTGGTGGCTCTGCGTCCGCAGTGCAAGAGAAACCGGAGCCAGTGCCGCTGGAGAGCCGCTCCTGCGTCCTCATCCGCCGCGACCTTGTGGCCCTGCCCGCCAGCCTCATCAGCCAGATCGGGTACCGCTGTCACCCCAAGCTCTACTCCGAGGGGGACCCTGGCGAGAAGCTGGAGCTGGTGGCAGGTGAGGCCTTGCTCCCACCTGTCTCTTGTATGCAAATGCCCTCTTCCTCTCCTTCAGAGCTGAACAATGTGCTCATCACCAATCAGTCAAAAAAAAGAGAACATCCTAGATTTCCTCTAATCTCCTTTCAGAAGGATGTGTCATTAAGAGGAGTTATTCAGCTGAATTTATCTAGCGTTTTAATTGAGTCCCCTGGGCTGGTAGCACTGCTGATGGGCAGGGGCTGCTGTCACGATGGGGCTTCAGTTTGGGTTGCAGGGAAAACCAGGTCGAAGATAGTTTACTAGCCCCGCTCCCCAGTCCCCACAGGGCGCAATTGCAGCGTCCAGGGGCTGATGGCCAGAGGCTCCAAATGGCAGCTCACAGTTGGTCGGCGATGCAGTTCTTCTGGGAAAAGAGACAACACGGTTGAGTCCAAAAGCCTTTGTTGGAAGTATTCCGCCCAGTGTCGGGATTCACGTGGCCGCCTGGCTCCTTCTAGATTTCTTTGGCTGCTCATGGGCAGGTCGAGAGCCGACGGCATCGTCCTCTCAGCTGGTAGATGTCGAGCCACGTGCCGGCATCTCTGGATTGGTTCACCAAGGGGGTCCCAAAGGGCTGGTGGGGACCCGTGGCCACTGCCCCTCCTCTCAGCCGCTCCAAGTGATTCCTCTGAGGCACCAGGTCCTCCACTCCTGCCGCACCCTGGGCAGCATGGTGCTCTGGCTGACCTGTTCTGGGAGCCGCTGTCACAGGTGGCGTCACTGGGGAGCAGCTGGGTGGTGGGCTGGCCTGGCCAGGCCGGAGTGGGGCAAGGGCACAGCTGCTGCCTGCTGTGATGCACTCCTGGGCTGGGTTACCAGGCTGTGGGGGTGCCAGGTGGGCTTGGTTCCAGGGGTCCTCGGAGGAGGGGGCCGGCTACTGGATGCCAGCTGGCCTACGTACAGCTGTACGTCAGGCTGCTGGGCCCCGCACCTCCCGAGGACCCCCTTTACAGATGTCTCCACACAAGGGCAGGGTGTCCGGCCCCTGGGCCTCAGGGACCTACCTGCTCTGCAGGTTTGAGGCTCTGCAGACACGAGGTGGGTGGACCTGAGTCCCTCAGGCATGCCTGGCATGCTGTAGCCGAGGCTGTCAGACCACACTGACCAGACGTCCTGACGGTGGACTCCATCCAGAATCAGCCATGCACATATTTAACCAATAGCTAGCGGCTCCTGGGGAGGCCTGGCTCATGCCAGGAAAACCCAGTGCTAAGAAGGGATGGCCCCCCCAAAGCTGGAGTGGCAGGCTCCATGGGGGGCTGAAGCAGCCCTGAGGCACTGAGCAGGGATCCAGTAGGAAGAGCAGGTCCTTATAGTCTCCTCCTGCCTGCCCCCCAAGAAAGGAACACCGCCTTGTCCTTTTCTCTTGAGGAGAAGATTCAGTGCATGCTCTGTACAAACTCCCATCTCAGAGGAAGGCCCGAGAGGGGCCACGCAGGTCCCCAGGAGCACCCCTTGGGGGTTCCTGCACCATCTCCTCTCCAAAGTTGGGGGCCCCCTGACTCTTGCGTGAGTTCCTCTGTCAGCGGGCAGAGTGTGGGTAAGCAGGGCTCTGGGCTCCTGCCTCGCCAGGCTTCCACGGGGCCCCCGGGCCACACTCCGGCCTGTGCAGCTCTTTCTTCTCAGCAAACGCGGGAGCAGTCCGAGCTCCCCCACCCCTGGAATTCCAGCTCCCTGCCACCCCCGGAAGCCCTTAGGTGTTTGGGAAGGGACAGAAGTGTTTCCCAAACCCAGGGCCAAGCCAGGGAATCCCTTGAAGCCAGAAGGGTACTTTGGGGACAGCCTCTGAAGCTTGTGACCGAGGCTTCCTCCTCCCGTGACGGCCTTGGTGCAGCAAGGAAAGCTGGACTGTGTTCCCCAGCCCGGCGGGGTCCCAGGCCCAGATGGGGGTCTGCCGGGGCGGCCGTGGTCTGTCCCGGAGTCCCGCTGCTCCCCGTCCTTTCCAGCCTCCTCAGCGCCCATACACCTGTTCCAGCCCTAGCAGCCCCCTGGGAAGGTCATGGCTGGGGTTTTGGGGGTGCAGCCAAGGGTCTCACGTGGAATTTTATATCTGGCGGCCGCAGGCTCCGGGGTGTACATCACGCGGGGCCAGCTGATGAACTGCCACCTGTGCGCGGGGGTAAAGCACAAGGTCCTGCTGCGGCGCCTCCTCGCCACCTTCTTCGACAGGTAGGTCCCAGGGTGCGCAGAGGCTTCTGCGGTCTCCTTAGCGGGGAGCCATCTCCCGGCCAAGGCCCCCATACCTCCTGGCCTCGTGCTGCAGCATCAGCCCTGGGGCCATCGGGGCTCCAGAAGGAGCCCCCCGAACACAGTCTGGGACTGGGGAGGGCCTGGCTCCTGGCATTCCCGGGAGGGCTGTGGACCCCTCCACCCCCAGGGAAGTGAAGAGCCATACTCACCCCACTCATGGGACGGCCAGAGCAGCCCCTTCCCCTGAGGGGCGGCAGGACCTTCTCCCCACCCCAGTCCACGGGAGAGACCAGTGGCCTTCCTGCCGGGCGGGCCTTCGGATAGGGAAACCCCCCCTCTGGCCGGCCTCACTCTGCCTCCCTCCCATCCCTCCACCAGGAACACGTTGGCCAACAGCTGTGGCACAGGCATCCGCTCATCCACCAGTGACCCGAGCCGCAAGCCGCTGGACAGCCGAGTCCTGAATGCTGTGAAATGTAAGAGGCCAGGTGTCTGGGGAGGGGTGGTGGTGTCGAGCTTCAGAAGCCCCCCAGGGCATTGGACCTCAGCCTGGGGAAGGCTGCACACCCCCCAGGACCCCATCCGGGACCGTGGGGTCGAGGGGAGGAGAGAGAAAAGAGCAGCTCTCAGAAGCCAGGTCTCGAGGTGTTGACGTTCTTGGTAGGTTTCCAAGCATGATGAATTCAGCTGTGAAACTATTTTAATATGTGAAATAGATCTAATTTTCCTTTTTGAACAAAACCCCTTATTTACATTTCGAGGTTATTTTGAGCCTTTGCCATCTGCTCGGCCGGCTTCTGCCTCCCGCCCGCCTCCGTGGCAGGCTGCCGGGCTGGTGCAGGCCAGCCGGCCCAGAGCACATCGTCCGGCGGCCCGTTTCCCTGCTTAAAAATCACGTCTCACGAGAGCCCTTCTGCTCTAGGGCAGAGTGGCGACGTGTGGGTATGGCTGGGCTCCAGGAAGGGGCGCCCGCCTCAGGCTGTCGGTGTCGGGGGCTCACCCCGGGGCTTCCTCCAGGTGCCGCGTTATGCGGAGAGCGGGTCCTGTGGCTGCTGGGGAGGAAGGCCGTGGGGCTCTTTATGACTGATGGTGGCCGCGGTGCCATTGCTGCCCCTGCCCCGGGGATAGGCCGAGAAGAGGGGTTGACCCTCTCGCTCCTGTCCAGCCTGTGAGGGGAAGCATTTGATCAGGCCGCAGATGCCCGAGCCATATGGTGGGTAGGTGCCCAGGCTCCCTGGCCTCGGAGCCCTGCCGTGACTCCCTCTCTGGATGGGCTGGGGGTATCTATCAAGTGTCTGACCAGAGATGCTCAGGGACCTGCCCAGGCCACACAGCCCGCCAGTGCTCGGGGAGGGCCACAGCTGTGCGCCCTTCATGCTGACTGTCCCAAAGGAGGTGGCAGGGCCCCCAGGACCACATGGGGGTGACTGCAGGGCTTCAGGCTGAGGCCAGGAGAGGCCTGGGCAGCCAGCCGCGGGGTCTCCGGTGCCAGTGGGTAGCAATGCCCCACCCCATCCCCACGGCTGCACATAAGCCCTCCAGGCCTGAGGCCTGTCCAGGGCAGTGCCGTGCCCTGGCTCCTGGGAGGCGGCACGTTGGCAGGCAGGGTGTGCAGGTGGGCGCCCCCTCATGCCCGCCCCCCTGCACCCTGTCCCTGCAGTATACTGCCAGAACTTCGCCCCCAGTTTCAAGGAGAGTGAGATGAATGTGATCGCCGCGGACATGTGCACCAACGCCCGCCGCGTGCGGAAGCGCTGGCTGCCCAAGATCAAGTCCATGCTGCCTGAGGGCGTGGAGATGTACCGCACGGTCATGGGCTCTGCAGCCGCCAGTGTGTCCCTGGACCCTGACTTCCCGCCCGCCGCGGCACAGGTGTTCGAGCAGCGCATCTACGCCGAGCGGCGGGGTGACGCTGCCACCGTCGTGGCTCTGAGGACTGACACTGTGAACGTCGACCTGAGCGCCACCGGGGCTGCCTTCGAGGCCGGCGAGGAGGCAGACGGGGCCGGCTCGGTCATCCAGGAGGTGGCCGCGCCCGAGCCACTGCCCGCCGATGTCCAGAGCCCCCCGCGGCCCTTTGAGCAGGGCGGCGCTGGCTCCAGCCGGCCACAGACGCCGGCCACGGTGCGAAGACCGGAGGGCGCGTATGCCGGGGCCTTGTAGAGCGGAGCCGCGGGCCGTGCTAGAGCAGCTTGCATGCGTTACTAATACAGACAAATGTGATCGAGCCACTTACCTACCGAACTGCTACTGTTGCCTGAAAAAAATGTGATTTTTATCCTGCTTGTATTTAAAACTTATGAAGGAAACAAATGCATCCATTCTACTGTAAATGATCAGGCCACTGGCCACCTAGTTGCAAGGTGGGTCCCAGGGCTCCTCCTGATACCCGAGAGGCCAGTCTCCGAGCCACCGCCTTCCTGTCCCCTGGGGAGCCGGCATGTGGGGGAGCAGCGGGATGGCACGGCTACAGGCCTTGCTTGACTTGGGGGGTGTTACCAGCTCATCTGCTGCCCCACCCAGCTGGTGGGTCTGCCCATCCCTGAGGCCCCCCAGCCCTGTGACGCACCTGGGCCCTAGGGGTTTGGCTACCACCTGAGCGCCCTCTGGCCCCCTCCTGGCCCCGCCGTCCTGTGTGGGTGGCTGCCGCCCTGGCACAGCCCGCAGCCACAGAGGGATTACATTTGTTGATTTCTGTCTTCAGATTTATTTCATATATGATGTGGAAACTTTCAGACCCAAAAGAGCAAAAAGTTAAGGAGGACTGAGTGTCCCCCTGACTCCAGGCCACATCACACCCCCTCCTGTGGGAAGTAGGGGTCCCAGGGAGGTGCCACCAGGCTGTGTGATGGAGGCACAGGCGCCTGGCTGGGCGGGGCCAGAGGGCCTGGAGCAGGGCCCCCTCGGTGTTGGGCTCCTCCTGGTGGTGCCCCATGCCCTGCGGTGTACATGCCCGAGGCTGAGGATGGGGTGGAGGGAAAGGCCTGTTTGCAGGAGGCACCCAGGGGCAGCAGTGTGGAGGCTGTAAATTGGGAGGCAGTAAGGAAGGGCCTGTGGAAGTTGTTCTGTCTGAGGCTAGAACGTTCACTTGCTGTTCGTGGGGTGGGCACAGGCTGTATGAGGTGCCTTAGTCCAGGGGCTGCCTTCCTCCTGGGTCCCAGGAACCCCCAGGCATGGCTGAAGACACGCCCTCCTTCCCAGGCTTGAAGGGGCCATAGTTCCCTCCTCTGGGCCAGCACTCTGGCCCCAGCCTGGGTGTGCACAGGACCCTCAAAGCTGGGCCTCCCACAGCTGCAGGACTGCCTGTGGGGTCCCAGCAGGGCACAGCCTGGAGGGGGGCAGGGGGCTTAGGTCCTCGCTCTGGGTCCTCATTCCTGCTGTCCGCCACCCTCCCTTGCGTGGAGGGCCTTGGGGGCAGACCTTGAGCCATGGTGGAGGTGGGGTCCCCTTCCCAGCCCGCATTCAGCCCTCCAGGCCCCCCTCCTGCTGGGCCAAACATGTACCTGCCCTCCAGAAAGATCTGATGCCTTCTGAAAAGGGGTGGGGGACCTCAGGTGGGCCCATGGAGCTGACCTCAGCCCCTCTACCACCTGCCCTGCCCAAGTGCAGGGAGGTCCAAGCCCTATGCTGCGGGCCTGAACGGGCTTCTTGCCAGTCACCAGCCTGGAGGCAGGTCCCTCTGCCCTTCCTTGTGTCTGGCCCTGCCGGTGGGGTGTGAGTGCCCTGTGCTGGGGCCCATGGCCACTTGGGCCCAGGACCACGTCCTCCCCTGGAGTCCTCAGGTGGCCACAGGTGGCAGAGGGCGTGGTGGGTGAGGTTGACTGCCACCCATCTCTCTTTGCAGGTCCCCTTTGCCCCCCACCCAAATTTGCACTTTAATTTGACCACCCTGGGGACCCTGGGGAGCGGCCACCCACTCTCCCTCTCTTCACTCCAAAGTGGGCCCAGCCCCTCCCTGAGGCCAGGACGGGGTTGGGGGGCTGGCCCAGTGGGGGTGGGGGGCGGTGGCCGCACAGAGAGGGCCTGACCGCCGCTCAGGCCAGCACAATGTCCCGTGACCTCTGTCCCTTAACTGTTTGTTTTGTTCTACTGGGTAAGGAAGGCAAGCTGTGGGTGTAACTAGTAACAATTAAATGTGAATGGGTTCTGAGCTCTCCCTGTGCCCGGCGGGCCAGGCCGAGCGTTTTGCACTACTGTGTCCCGCAGGGGCGTGGTCGGGGCGCTGACAGGTGGCCGTGGCCGATGACTGCGGGCGCCCTCTGCGCGCCGGGCCTGGGCTCGGAGGCCATTCCAGAGTGCCTTACCATCCTTTGATCATTTTTCCCTAGGAAAACCGATTTAAAGAACCGGACCCTCCCCTCCTCTGTTTACAAGATGACTAATTCCTGTCCTGTGAGCGTGGTCCTGACTCACCCAGACCCTGTAGACCGAGAGACAAGCCACTCAGTATTTATGAGATGTCTGCGCCTTTACTCCTAAGCTTGACTAGTAGTGATATGCATATACTACATAGAGTCTATTGTAGAGCTAAGTTACAGCAGCACCTTGTCGAGGAGGAGACGAGGGACCCAGCCCCGCCGGTGCTGGGCGGTGGCCTGGGACCCAGCAGCCCTCCCCAGCGGACGTGATGTGCCGCAGAAGGCAGCTGGGACAGTGCAAAAGGTCCGGAGGAAGGGCCGGGAGGGGGACAGATACTGTGAGCTCGCGGGGCCCGCCTGGCCGGCGTGCCTCGGTACTTGAATTCTGACTGTTTGCTGCACTGTGTCTGGTTCGTCCAGAGTTCTCTGTGGTTGCTTGACTTTGTGTTTGGTTCAGTGTCTTACCTGGCCCCAGGGGTGGACACAGCTGTGGACAGCGGCAGGGGAGGCACAGTGGAGTGTGCAGCCTGCAGCCCTGCCCGCACCATGGTGCTGGGCGCTGGACTGCCGCTCTGGGACCTGGGCCCGTTTCTCCTTCCAGAAAACTCTTTGTCTCTAGAGCCGGGAGGAAGGCTGAGGTGTGGCCCGGGAGGGGCCTGTTCCCCTGCTCTGTGGGCACTCCGGTGTGCCTGGCCCTGCCCTGTCCCCATTTAATGGCTGGAGCTTTGTAGCACACGCCCACTCCAGCCCCAGCGGATTACTGCTTAGATTCCCCTAGATGGGTTACTTTTATGGAAATATCTTGATGCAGGTGGAAAAAGGCCTATGGCCCATTAACCAACTGAAAACTCAGAGAAAACCTCTGTTTACCTCTGCCGGCAGTAAACCCTAAATGCAGAACTGAGAGTTCACAGCTGTCCTGAGCTTTAACTACTGGTTCGGAATGTTGCTTTTCCACAAATCCATCATCACGTCAGCCAGCCAGCTCTGAGCGTGCCGCCCGCCTGCAGCCGGAGACCATTAGGGCTGGGAACAAGATGTTTCTAACATGGCAAAGGTTTTGGGGTTTTGTTTGTTTGTTTTGTGTCTTTGAAAAAAAGGAGAATTATGCAGAATCTAAAGCATCCAGATTGGACGACCTGCTTGAATTCTGATGAGTTGCTTCATTGTTAGCATTTTGCACACGATCGTAATTTTTATGTCAAAAGAAGCCAAAACTTGCAATACTATTTTTAGCAGACAACAACAAAAAGAACTAAATATAAAATCTATAAATATTTTTGACTTGAACGTTTGGATGGTACAGCTACAGACGGACCGGTTCCTCCTTTGGGTGGAATGCTTGTAGAAGAGCTGCAGAGGGAGCCGGCGGCCGGAGTCTAGCGAGGGGCTACGCGGCACCGCTGCTCGCGACTGATAAATAAACATGTAACCTGCGTTGTTCCCGTGCTGTACAGAGGATACTTGTTTCATGGTACCACTGTTCCCTGCAGGCCCAGAAGATGCTGTAGCATTTTTTTCCCCCCCGAAGGAGGAATTCTTTGTTCTTCCGGGTCCTCACTCCCTTGGTGCCACAATGGCAGAGTCAAGACCGTTGCTTTCTAGCCAAGGCTGACGCTGTATGAATAACTCGACCTACAGAGGTATCCACCCGCGAGCAGGAAGCGGGCCCCTAGCCTGCTCAGAGCCGATCGTAAGGTGGAAATCCGTTTCAAACAAACAGGATGTGATCGTTAATTGTAAAGCGCTTTGTAAAATTCACATTTACAGAATAATAAACTCAGTTCAAACCCAAGTTGCCTGTGCTTTGCTTGGTCAGTGGGGTTGAGGGGAGACAGAGAAGCCAGGGAGCATCTGGGCTGCTGGGGGCAGGGTGACAACCACCCACGATCCCCAGGCTCGCCGCCCCCTGTCCGTGTCCATCCACTCACTCTGCCTCCCCATGCCTTACCAGGGAAGGGGGCTGGGGAGCTGGAGATGTCCCGAGGGGGGACTCCAAGTGACCTGCGAGGACCTCTCAGCAAACCAGGAGAGCCACCTCACCTGGCCCACCGCCACCTCCTCTGTGCCAGGTCTGCCCCCAGGTGTGTGGAGGGGGGATTGCAAGTGGTGGAGCCACCCGGGCCTGCTGGGGAGCCCCCCTCCCAGCCATCTCTGGAACCATTCCCCAGGCCAGCCCTGGGTTGGGGTTCTTGGACTTAGACCTGGCGGCTGTCTCCCCACTTGCTCCTCTGCTGTCTGCACAAGGACCTTCCTGAGCGACCCCAGGCCGCAGGTGGGTCAGGCTTTGTTTTGCACCAGTGCGTCCCCCTGATACTGGTCAGGTCTTGGGCCCTCGCATGCCCGTCCCACTCCTAGATGCCTGTGTGGTGGGCTCCTCGCTTCTCCCTGTCCTGCGAGGTTCTCATCCTAGGAGGCTGCCTCTGACCCGCTTCTAAATGCCACCCGGTCTGTCCCCCCTTTCTTTTCCGGGCTTCCTGGCAGCAGAGGATTTGTTTGCTTGTGTGTGTGTGACCTCCACAGGGGCCCTCTGCAGCAGTGGTGTGCTGCTCGGGGTCACCCTGAGCCACTGCCTCCTGCAGGGGCACTGTCCCCCCAGGGTTCCCAAGGACCCTGGACCAGGTGGGGCCCAGGAGCACTGGGCGTGCCCGTGTCTGTCAGCACCCTGCAACACCTCAGCTGTTCTCTGCCACCCCCAGCCCGGCTCCCTAGTCAGCTTCAAAGCTCCTGGGTGGGGTGGCTTCCCAGGCCACCCACCTTGGCTGGTGGAATCACCCGACCCCTGGGCTGAGGGACACACACCTGGGAAGCCCCAGATGCCCCACCATGGGAGGTTCAAGCCCCTCAGCAGCCAGGACCACGAGGCCCATGGGCTGGGGGTCTGGCAGTTGTGTGGAAGGTGTCTGCCCAGAACCCAGGAACCCTGCTGGATCCCCCTGGGACAGGAGGCCCCGCCCTGCCCATCCATCAACGGCTTTCCAGGAAGCAGGAAGCAGGCAGCAGGCAGCCTGTGCCCTGTCCCCTCCACCTCTGCCCTTCAGCCTCCCACCAAAACCGGCTGAGGCATCAGCCCTTAGTTCTGAGCCCTTTGTCCTGTCCTGGGAGGAGGGCGCAGTGTCAGCAGGACCTGGAGCCCTACTCTGAGCCCTTTGTCCTCCGCACAAAGGGTCAGAGCCCCCAGGGCCCCTGCTGGTCCGGGCTGTGTGGGGCAGGGGTTGGGCCTGGCCGGTGAGGGGTGGGAGGGAGGTGGGGCGGCTGGGGCTCCTCCCCAAATGACAAGCTATGAGTGGCACGCTCTCCACACTCCTACCGGGTGGGCATTGTTGACCCTCAGAGGGGGAGGTGGGCATTATTGACCCTCAGAGGGGGAGGCGGAGGCTCCAAGGGGCAGGGAGTTGCTAACTACCCCGCGCCATGCTGTGCACCCCATGCCACACTGGCAGCAGCCCAGCTAGAAGGGGGCCCAGCTTGCCCACTGTGGCTGAGTAGGCTTGGGGCAGGTCGGTCCTGGCCCTGCCTCGCATCCATCCCATCATGTGACCACAGGAGGGCCAGAGCGTGGGGGCTCTACTGTGGGGGGGGAACCGGAGCCCCACCCAGGTCTGGGCACTTGGAAGGGGCAGGATGGATTTGGCTACAGTTTGTCAATGGAACCCTCTGACAGTAGGGGGCTACGGAGGCCAGGACTCGACCTCTGTGCCCATGCACGAGGCCATCTCCTTCCTTGGGCTCCTTGGGGTATCTGGCCAGGGTGAGGGCTGCAGCTGCATGGGGCCTGCGGAGCCCACTGGGGGTGCAATGAGGCCAAGAAGGCAGGTCTGTCCTTGCCCTCAGCTCCAGGGGAGGGGCCCCCACAGCATGAGGCAGGCTTTCTGGGTAGGCCCAATGACCTGCGCAACTTCCTGGGCCCCCTCCAAGTGGGGTCCCAGCTGCAGGTGTGTGGTTTGGGGGTCTGCAGAGGGGGTGCAGGGATCTCAGGGGACAGCCTTCTGGTCCAGGCAGTGCTGGCGCTGGGGGTCTTGTCCAGGTCCCACCCCCAGCCCACCCTCAGGACGCAGGCCCCTGAGCAGAGAAGCAGCTCCTGGGACCCTAACTAACGGCCCAGACGGGTGGGTGGAGGTGGGTGCCGTTGTCCTGTGAGGAGGGCTGCCAGGCTCTGACTTCCAGGAAGGGCGGCCCTGTTTCCCCAGAGCTGGCCTCAGGCACAGGTCAGTGGGGCCTGGAGCAGGGCCGGGCTGGCCAGGGTGGAGCCCACATGCCCTGAGCTGGGCGCGTGGCTGGGCAGCTGCCTCTGGCCCGACTCCCACACGGGAGGGAGGGGCAGGCCCAGGAGTGTGGCTCCGTGCCCATTCCATCAGGTATGGACAGAAGCCACCTGGGGAGGGGACAGCCCTGTGTGTCCCTCCAGCCTTCCTACGGGTGGACAGGTTGCAGAAAGGAGTGCCTGTGCGGCACCCGGCACCTCATGCAGGGCACCTGGAGGCAGCCATGATGGCCCAGAGGGTTCCAGTGCCCTAGATGGGCCACACCGGCTTGCAAGCCCCCTCTTGGGACACCCAGCTCTGTGGCCCTTAGCCAGCCCTTTCCGGAGGAGGGCAAGGGCAGAGGTTCCCCTCAAGGAAGCAGTTGTGGTCCCCCACCGAGGGGCCCTGGCCATCTGGGTCTCCACCTGGAGCGCCCGGAGGCTGGGCAACAGCTAGGAGAGCGTCCTGGGCTAGTGGGACCTGAAAAGCCCAGGGTCACACCCAGAGCTGTCTGTGCACCGGGCCCTGGCTGCCCAGCTCCCACTTAGCCCCCGGGAGCCCGGGCCCCAGATAATCCAGGATACCACACAGAGGACTCTGGGCTGGACGATGCCAGCTCTGGCTTGGTGCCATGAGCTGTGAGCAGGGAGCATGCCTGCCGTCTCTGCCCCTCAGTGTCCCCTCCAGAAGGCAGGGTCTCTCCAGCCTTTGAGCTCTCAGACCCAAGCCCTCACCACCTGCCTGAAACGTCAAGGCCGCAGTCTCAGGCGCCTGGTGGGGAACTGCCCTGGCCACGTGGGAATTGTGTTAACCAGGACACGGAATGCAGACACAGCCAGGATTGCACCCAAGGCCTGTGGGATGCTGGGGAGGGTGGGGGCCCTGCTTTTGATCCTGTCCATGTTCCACTGCTGGAGGAAGCACCTTGCCTATGGCCTCACTGGGGGTGAACTTGACCCTGGCTGACCTCTGTTGGCCTATGGTCCATGCAGGAGCCCACTGAAGCCCCAGCATGACCCCATGAAGGGATCTGGTCAGGCAGGGAAACTGAGGCTCAGAGGAGCTTAGGACGTCACCCGGACACATCTAGAAGGTGGCAGAGCCAGGATTCGGGCCAGGTGCCTGCCCCTCGGCACCCCTTGCCAAGGGGAGTGAGCATTCCAGGTTGGCAGGGGGGCTGGCAGGGAGCTGGGCCATCTCCTCCACCTACCAGGTGCCACCTGTCCATCTGCCAAGCAGTCCTCGGCCCTCCCTCCAAGGAGGGGAAGATCGGGCACCTGGTCTGTCTGCAGGGCCACCCTGCTCTCTGAGAAAGGGGAGGGAGGCACAGCTGAGAGCCAGCAGCAGTGTGGCACACCTCGGGAGGACACCTGGGACAGATGAGGGCGGGGGTCACCTGCCCAGGGTGCCCCCAGGCTTTGCAGAGCAGGGAAAGGGCAGGTGGTCTTGCTCAGCCCGGCCCTCACCCCGAGGCTCCAGCACACCGAGGCCAGGTGCTGGTGGCGGGGCCCACATGGTGCTTTCGAACATGATGGCTCCACTGCCCAGGTGGACTCTTTCTCAGCCGAATCCCGAGAGGAGGCAGGGGTGGCCCTGAAGAGCCAGCATCATACCCATATCATGGCAGCGTCACGTCTGACAGCCAAAATCAGGAGCGCCCAAATGTCCCTCGGTGGGTGGATGGGTGACACAGGTGTGGACTGTCCGCCTTCTCCAGGGTCTGCCTGGAGGTGTGACCCACCCCCCCACCAGCTGCTGGACCGCAGCCCTGCAACCCCGAGGACACAGCAGACAGCCCCGCGCTGTGGGGGCCCACATGCTCTTTTACCACAGACCAAGACCAAGACCACATGCCCAGACCAAGATTCAAGCCAAGGGTGGGCTGGAGAGGTGGGCGGCCGGGGGTGAACCCCCAGCACGGCAGGCAGACGCCTCCAGGGCAGCAAGCTTCCTTACTGTCCCAGGAGGCTGAGGGAAGCCCCCCACTTCCTTTCTGGAAGCCCCTGTGCCTTGCGTCCTTCCAGGCAGACTGGGTGCGTGGGTTTGGAGGTAGGGTCCACCCAGGGCCCTGAGCCCCCACCCCAGAGGCCCAGGCCACACTCCAGCCCTCCCCGGGTCAGCTCCCTGGAGCCCCCACTCCCAGCAGCCCCCTCCTCCCACGCAGTGGGAGGCACCCCAAAGCGAATGCCATGGTGCCTGTCTGATGCCGCCACTTTGTGCCTCAGTTTCCCCACATGTTCAGCACCAGTGTGGACCAGATCATGCTTCTCAAATTCTATTGTGCCTCAAATCCCCTGGGCTTTTTGGTAAAATGCAGGTTTTGATTCTGCAGGTCGGGGGAAGTGGGCCGACTGCTTGTCCTAAGGAGTGTGCGTGGAGAACATGTGGGTTCATATGGGCGGAGGGCTGTGCTCGGTGTGTCCCAGACCTCACGCCAGTCTGCAAGACCACACTGCCCTCTGGCAACCACCAGGGTGCCATCCTTGCATCTGTCCGGCAGCGGCCGGGGGGCTCATAGACTTGCCATGACCCCCACGTGTGTGCCCAGCTC